TCCTCATGATGTCATTAGTGCTCTTTGAGAATGATGGATGAACAACAACAGATGAGGAACCGAGGCAGACAAGGTTAAGTGACTTGCCCAGGGCCACACAGCTAGTAAATATCTGAGGCTAGATTTGAACTAATGAAGATGAGTCTTCCTGACTCCAGGCCTGGCACTTTTATCCACTGTGCCACCTAGCTGCCCTAAAAATGATTTACATTTATATTTATCAAAACCATACTTATCTCCAGAAAAGTAGGCTCTCTCTGTGGTCATCTTGAAATCTATTTTATCTATGATTTGTCATGTAAATATAATTTCATGATAAAGGAACATTTAGTAGTTTTAACCTAAAAAATTTTCAGAATAGCATTACTTTAATAGAAAATTTAACAGTGCCATATACTGTTTAGTTAAATTACTATCATACTGGTGATCTGTAATATTTACAGCTTAACATTACTTATCCAAGATCATCTTTTCCTTCATATTCCCTGGAGACTTTGCCATCCCAATGAGGCCAAAAGGGAGGGAGGAGAAGAATGGGGCTGTCAATGAACTACCAGGAATTATTAGCATAAAGGAAAGTACATGTACTTAAAGGTCATTGACTGTCATGCTGATCGAGCATTCAAAGACAAAGTAATGGATTATGTTATTACAGGCACCAAGCTGGTCATATCCAACACTAGATCTCCAGCAGATTTTCCAACAGTAATTGTTGTGCCATAACAGAAGGGAGACAGAGAACCAATCAGAAAATTTAATGTGGAGGTTTATTGAAGCACGGGGCTGCAAGGGGAAGTCCTAAATCAAGCAGCCCCAATCAGGGGCAGAGCTCGGGTTTATAAAGGCAGAATCAGTCAGGGGTTGTGTAAGCGGGAAGATACAGAAGCCAAACAAGCGGTTGGTTAGTTCATAAGAATCATGAAACCGATTGGGTGAAAAAGGTTGGGGCGGGTGGCCTTCTAAGGCGGGAACTTTTGGTGGGCTTTCTAAGACGGGAACTCTAGCTTCCAGGAAGGAGGGCGTACAAGATAGAGTTCAGAGAGCGAATGGGGCTTGGTACTTCATAATAATGGGTAAAAATATTATATGCCCTTCACACGTTTTACATTCCAGGAGATGTAGTTCTACTTCTTTTCTTATCTATCACACTATCACCCTTGGCCTATCTCAAGATACAGATTGTAAGCTCCTTAAGAGAAGGGACTGTATTGTTGTTATCTTCATTTCTCCCATGCCTGGCACTGTGCCTTGTATGTAGGATGTAAATGATAATTCTCTGAATTAAACTGACAAATGACAGATGAAGGTAGGTAAAAATATCAGTCACTACCACCGAGACAAATTTGACTGAAAAATCGTATGCCTTCAACAAATACAGCCTCACTTGAATCCAAGTTGTGAGCTAACAATCTTCAAGGAACTCACATAACTGAGGATAGAACCACCACCTTGCCAGAGCTACTGACTGAAGATCTTCAGTGGAAGATCAATGAACGTTTGCTGGAATTCAGTGATGAAATAAGCATAGTAATAATCAAGAAGTTCTTCTAAAATACGTAAGGTATAGTCCAACAGATAGCTCAAGCAGCCAGAAAACTGATGAGAAAGTTCATTCTCCAAGATCTGAGGGGAACTTAATGGGGTAGGGAGAACAATTCCATGTATAAAGGGATCTATACACAGTTCCACTTTTCTGAAGTTAACTATGAGTCCTATATCACTCTATTTTCCTCTTGCAGTCATAATGTTATCGATTCCAAAGCCGAATGAGCCAGATTGGCTAAGTTAGGCCAGGCTGGTGATGCCAAGAAATTTCCTGATGAAGCAATCCAGAAGAGACCAGATAACAGGTGATTGCACCTCAGTACTGTGGCTGAAGACTAAGGATGGCAGCAGCTATGATGGCAGAATATGGGTAGAAGATTAGCATGTCAAGATCTACTCATCAAAACTGGTGGGGGTCAGAGGTGGGAGAAAGGAGAGAGCAGGTGAGGTCAAGGGCAGGATAAATAGTTCATAGGATCAAAAAATTCTAAAGTTGAAATGCAACTCAGAATTAGCCTATTCCAACTCTTACCCAAAGCATGAATTCTCCCTACAATATCTACAACATCATTTAGCTTAAAGTAAAAGAGAGAGAAAATTTACTACCATTCACAAGATCACATCCTTAGAACTAGAAGAGACCTCAGCAGCCAGCTAGGTAACTCATTTTGTGGACAAGGAAACAGACCCACAGAGGATGTGACTTTTTCAAGGTCAAATTATGGATAATAATTTAAACCAAGTTTCTCTGATTCTACATCTCAAGTCTCTGTCCACAATACCTGACTACCTCCTGAGAGTGACATAACATGTTTTTACAAGCTTATAGTAATCACTTCTCCTTTGTAATCTTAAATCATCCCTTGGATGGAAATTCTATCAAGTTCACTAGCTGAAAGTTTGAAATACTTTCTTTTCCTTCTTGACAATAAGAACAATATTTGCCCACTTTCAGTCTTTGGTACTTCCTCACATATCACTGGTGATAGTTCAACAATCCCAGCCACAAGATTTCTCAGAACTCTGGTCTATGTCAGTCTGGTGACTTGAAGCCCTTTTAAGCATGTTGGTACTCTTGTCACAATGTACTCACTTAGGATAAGTTTCCTTTCCCTATTAATAATTTTGTCTTGCCCAGTCTGACAATCAACTCCCTCTGTAAAGAGAAGTAAAATATAAATTGAGTGGATTCATCTCTTCTCTCCACCACTCATTATCACTGTTTCACTGGTCCCATCTGACAGTCAATAATCCTATCCTTTTCTTGATTTTTCTTTTGCCCCCAACATAACTAAAAAGCAAAAAGTTCTATTATCCTTAGTATTTATTGAAAACCCTGGGCTTTAATCTTCCTGTTTTTGCAGAACTTTTCCCTTATCCTATCCATCCTATTATGTGCCTCCGCTTTCATCTTCTATATACATAGAAAATTGTCAGCTTGTCAGATTATGACCAGATAACTATACCACCTTAAAGTCCAACCTCAGGCTTCTGAAGAAAGCAAGTAGCTTGGAAATATCTCAGTAAAACTTGGTTATTTAATAGTGTAGCTTAATGCTTCCCTGGGAAGCTTTCTCCAGGCATGCATATGATTTGATCTTTAAAAAGGATTCCCTCAAACCTTTAAAAGAGCTTGAGACTCTGCAACTTCTTTGGCTTCCTCACCTCATCAGAAGACAATAAAATGACTTCAGGTCAGGCTGAGTACAGGTCTCTCTGGGTATTTCCTCATCTCTTTAGGGTTCCTTGTTGACACCTAACATAAATGTGTATTATTTAACCCGAGGATCAGTGATCTTTCTAGAGAGCATTGTGGTGCCAAAAAATGAGTGCTAGACTGGGATTCGAAAGACCTAGGTTTAAATCCTATCTGTGACAGCCCATTTAATTGTGGGCAACTTAACTTGGGTCTCTTTGGGCCTGAGTTTCCTCATGTATAAAAATGTGGGGTTTGAACTAGATAATCTCTAAGGTCCCATCTAACTTAAATTTGGGATCCTACAAAAGAGCCCCAGAACTGAAAGGGATAAGAGAAGACACTCCTAGAGGGCCAGTACTCACCTCCATCTCCTGGATTACCCTAGCTTCCTTCAGGTCCCAGCTAAAATCCTATCTTGTACAAGACATCCTCGTGATCTTAGTTGTTTGCATGTCTCCCCCATTAGAATTAGCTCAAGAGCAGGAACTACCTTTTCATTGTATCACTTAGCACGGTACCTGGCATTTAGAAAACCCTTAATAAATGGCTGTTGACTAAGTGTACTGCAGACAACCAGAATGAAGAGCCTTGAGTTCATGCTATATGAAAATCAACTTAAAGAAAACAGACATTTTTCCTGAAAACAGAGAAGTCTTAGGCCATAATAGGTCAAGTTAAGCTAAAATTGCTAAATAACTTTTCAAATAGACTCCAAGGCCAGTGCCCTACTTCGCCACCTAAATAGCTATTCCTCAAAGATAATAGTAGCCTTAAGATTTTTTATTAAGAGATTTTAAATTTATTATTCTCAAAATATAAATAACAGGTAGCAGAGAACACCGAAGACAGACAGCTGTCTTCAGGGAAAGACTAGACAAATCACTTAACCTCTTGGTATCCTAGACCAAACCATAAAGTATTTGCATTGGTAGCAGTTTTGTTATCTGGGAGTTCCCAAACAAAAAGTTATAGGTCCAGTCCCTATCTCAATTCTATGATAAAGAAGTTGGGGATTAATCCTTCGGATGTGATAATTCATGAAACAGGAAAAAAAAAAAAGAAAACATCCATCAGCTCTGCATGACTGAAACCTTCAGTTGTACTGGCAAAGTAGCAGAAGAGGTTAAGAAACTGATTTGGACGCATACAAATTTAACTCCTGATAAGCTGAATGGGAAATTTTTTGTGTTGCAGGATGAGAGAGACTCAATCATAGTGATACTGCCATATCCACTACAAATGAAATTAAGAAAGCTGCAATGAAATAAAAATAACTTAATCATCTAGTGAGATCCTCTCCAGGCCTCCATTTTGGGAAAGGGTCCAGACTGCCACTGTCCCTCAGCCCCCCTCTCAACCTTCCCTCAATGCCTGTGGCCTTCACACTCCGAAATTTCCCACAAAGCCCTCTTCTCTCATTGATCAATTCCTCTCAGAGCCGCCATTCCTCCTCCCTGATGTGCTCCTGTCTGGCCTTTACTTTTATGCCCCATAGGTGTCTTCCCCCCTTCCCAGCACTACCATCCTACCCTGCAGCTTTTCTAGTTCTCTTATGTATGTATGTTGTCTTCCCCTATTAGAATGTAAGCTCCTCCTTAAGGACAGGTTTTTTTTCTTTTTTGATCACTTGTGTTTGTATTCCCAGTGCTTATTGGCACAGTTCCTGACACATCTTTTTTGATTGGTTAGTTATTAGATGCTCTCTGAAGAAGCACAAAAAGAATTTGATAAAGTTGTGACAGAAAACATTAACAAGTATGCAGTAATTCTCATTTTATTTGAGACAAACACATCTACTAAATTAAGAAAAGTATAACAGTGATATAAGAAAAAAGACAAATATAATAGATGTCAACATTCAATCATCAGAAGGATAAACCCAAATGAGGTTAACAGTAAATATTTGATCTGAACTTACTTAAATACATTAGAATTACGAGTTATATGAAGAGAACTAAACAGGATAAGCAGAGAATAAGCATTCTTTTCAAATGCATATAGAACACTCACAAATATTAATCTCAGTCTAGCCTGTAAAAGCCAACAAATTATAAAAGGAAGAAATAATATATGCTGTTTTATTAAACTAGAATAAACCAAAAGTTGACCAAGAAAATGTAAACTACTAAATAAAACCAGTCCACAGAGCTATATTCCAATAAATCAGACAACATAAATGAAACAGATGACTACCTACAACAGTATCAACTACCAAAATTGACAAAAGGAAATTTTTTCCATGCTGTAACAGCTTTATCTGATCACATATTCCACTAGTCCTCATCTTCATTTATCCACTGCTCTGTTTGGCTGCCAATCTCTTATCTCTTTCTTCAGCAATGGTGAGACGGATACCTTTTCCACGGGGTAGAGAAATCCAAGGCTTGTTACCTTTGCCAATAACGAAAATATTTGAAAGCCTAGTGGCAAAGCTATTGCCATTGGCATCCTTCACATGGACAACATCAAAAGAGCCTGGATGCCTCTCCCTGTTGGTGATCACACCAATTCGACCCAGGTTAGCACCACCAGTCACCATACATAGGTTGCCAGTATCAAATTTGATGAATTCAGTGATCTTGCCAGTCTCTAAATCAATCTGGACGGTGTCATTCACTTTGATTAGAGGATCTGGATAACGGATCGTACGGGCATCATGGGTCACCAGATGAGGGATCCCTTTTGTAGCCACAAAGATCTTTCTCACTTTGCACAATTTATATTTTGCCTCTTCAGCCGTGATGCGATGAACAGCAAAACGGCCCTTGGTGTCATATACCAGACGGAAATGTTCTCCTGTCTTATCGATGCTGATGACATCCATAAAGCCAGCAGGGTAGGTAATGTCAGTGCGGACTTTGCCATCAATCTTGATGAACCGCTGCATACAGATCTTCTTTACCTCATCTCCCGTCAGGGCATACTTGAGTCTATTTCTAAGGAAGATGATGAGGGGGAGGCACTCCCTCAGCTTATGGGGGCCTGTGGAGGGTCTAGGAGCAAACACTCCTGTCAACTTATCAAGCATCCAATGCTTTGGGGCTGCCACACGCTTCAGGTGCTTCTTGGGACCACGAGCCATGGCTGTGCTGGGCCTAGGGAAAGGCCATTAATAGGAAATTAACAATTAGACCAACCTCAGAGGAAGAAACAAGACAAACCATCAAAGAATACTACTACCCCCCCACCCACACACACACACAGCTTAGATGGAATTCCCAGGATTATTCTTTCAAACCAAGAACAAATAATCCCTAAATAACACAGATTATTCAAAAATATCAAGATGAAACATTACTATTAACAGAGATCTGTCTCCTTCCACTTGGGACCAGCATGTGACAAACAGCAGATTCTTAATTAATGCTTATTACCTGATTCCTATCAATCTCCCTTCTAGTACATCTAAAATCCAACTGTTTCAATCAAAAAAATCTGAGACAACAAAATGAAATCAGGAAAATACATAATAGCATATAATAATATGAAACAAAACAGGACAATTATAAAAAACAACTGAAATAAAGTTAAACCTAACAGGGACATTTAATATTCACTGATGAATTAAATTAATACAGTAAAAATGACAACTTTCACATTAATTCATACATTAAAAGCAATACCAAAGTATCAAGGGGTTTCTTAAAGAATGGATAAAATCATCAAGAAAATATATGAGGGGAAAAAAAAGAATATCAAAGGACACACTGGGGTAAAAACAAATGACAATGGTATTGCATTTTCAGACTTTAAAATAAATTACAGAAGTGGTTATCATCAAAATATCTTGTTGATTGTAGGTGAAAAATAAAATAAAACAAAGAACTATATCATATACCAGACTTCAATCAAATGTACACAAAATATTAGTGTTTGATAAAGTTATAGAAATGTTATAGTATAAAACTAGGAAAAGGATTTATTTAGCACGTGTTAGGGAAAACTGGCTAGCAATTGCTTTGCTGAGCTATATATCTCACATAGTATATATCAATGAATTGCAGCTGGATGACAAAAAAAAACCAGTAAAAATTTAGGAGAACGATATATTTTAACTCTATTACAGAGGGGAAATTACTTTTTTCTACAAAACAAACTAAAAGATTAGAACAAATTAATGATAAAACTATTATATTAAAACAAATTTCTATACAATAAAAACATAATGAACGGAAAAAAACTTAAAAATATTTATGCTAAGAAAAATTTAAACATAAGGAATGGTTATAAATTCAGAGATGGGGGCAGCTAGGTGGCACAGTGGATAGAGCTCCAGCCTTGGAGTCAGGAAAATCTGAGTTCAAATCCAGCCTCACATGACACTTACTAGCTGTGTGACCCCAGGGCAAGTCACTTAACCCCACTGCCTAGTCAAAAGAAGGAAAAAAAAATTCATAGAGATAACTCCAAGTTCACAATGGATAATGGTTATGGGACAGTTAACTTTTCAGAAGAGCTAACAGACTCTGCATCATAGGCTTATAAACTGGTAGGGACTTCAGAGGTTAGATTACTGATGATCACTTGAAAAAAATGCTTAGCCTCATTAATTAAAAAGATGCAAAATAAAACCCCAAGCTATCCCCAAATGGCAAAAATTAAAGTAAGAAAACAAATACAATCTTATTAGAAATCCACCTGGCAGGTCTACAGAAGTTACAAAAATAATTATATCCTTTGACCTAATAATTCCATTGTTAAGAATATACCCTTACTGTATTTTTAATCTTATATCAATTCTTCTGTCAGTGGCTATATTGGAGAGTTTTTCATCATTATTCCCCTATTTTTCTGTGATAATAATCTGTAGCATGCATTTAGGTTCGATAAACAGTAGGGTTTGGATTATATATGCTACAAGATGGAAAATTCTATGATTTACTTATGAATCAAGGATATTTTAGCTTCAGATATCAGTCAAATTTAAATCAATTTAATTCAATCCAAACCAATCCTACACACATTAAGTGCCTTCTGTGTGCAAGGTACCAGGGGTTACAAATGAAAACAAAATCTAATAAAGTGGTTAGGTATGCAAATAACTATAATACAAATTAGAAAATAAGTGTATAAGTCAAACATATAGGGTTGAGGCTTTGGAAAGAATCAAGAGAGGAACAGGGAAGGGGCAGCTTAGATAGTGCAATAGTGTTGGACTTGGGGTCAGGTATGCCTGAATTTGAATTCTGAATCAGAACCTCACTAGTTTGTGGGATCCTGTGCAAATCACTTAACCCCCCTTAAGCCTCAGTTTCCTCATCTGTGAAACAGGGATAATTACTACACCACAGTTATGGTGATAAACTTAGTTAATACATTCAAACCTTACAAGGATAATATAAATGTTAGCTACTACTATTATTAATGGATATGGTAACTGGGATACCAGAAAAAATGATAAATTTGGGGTCAAAGGACCTTGGTTCCAAGTCCACAATCTGACAGTTACTACTAGTGTGAATGTGGACAAGTCTTGTAGTTTCCAGGGGCTCTATTTTCAAGTACAAAGTGAGGAGGTCAGAGTAGATGACATCCAAGGTCCCCTTCAGTTCTGAATATGTGAGATTTCAGCAGCTAGCCACGTGGGAAGTTCATTTTGTGCCACTGGAGAGTCTGCAGAAATAGACATAGAAAAGAGTACATAATAATAGATCAGGAAATGGCTAGTAGTCTAGTCTGGCCACAGTGTAAAATGTGTAAAGGATGAAAGCATGAAATAAAGCTAAAAGTTTTACTACAGTCAAATTGCAGATATCTTTGAATGCTAAAATAAAGAATGCAAATATTTAATCCTAAATGCCCACAGTGAGAGAGTGGCATTCATAGGATCACACACCAGAGCTGGGAGGGAATCTTAGGCCATCTACCCCAAATCTCTCCATTTTACATGAAGAAACTAAGGTCCCAAGAAGTTGTTTTGAGCAGGATAGTAATGAAAGGAGTATTATACATTAGGAACATGACTTTAGATACAAAATGTGAAGAACATATTGAAGAGTCTAAGCAAAAACACCAGCTGGTTGGCTACCTAGTAATCCAAACAAATTATCTCCGAGCTTTTTGATTAAACATACATTCCTGTGGGGGTGGGGACGTGGACGGACATGACTTTGAACATACATCCTCACTATATTTACTTGGAACTGAAGTTAATATTGAGGTTGTAATCTAGATGACTAAAAGGATGGGAAGAGGGGTAGGTTGTAGAGTGTGGAAGCATTTTTAAAGCCTCCTTTTTAGTTTAACTCCAAATATCAACAAATATTTCTCTAGCCTAAAGTCTTTTTCAGACTTTTATCCTTTAGTAAAGTTTGTAGAAGGTCAAGAACAAAAGTTAAAGCCTAGGAAAAACAGGTTATGAATGGTAACCAAACTCAAAAGAAAAAAAAAGGCTTCACAATGAAGATAAACTAATTCCCTTTCATATTTTGAAGGGATCAGGGCAGGACTTCCACAAAGTCCCACTGGCTCCTCTGCAAGAAGTTTAGAATGGAGCTGAGTATTTAGAAGATAAGGTGACCTGTTGTTATTCTGGAGTCTTAATTTTTGTGTACAAGACTCCACGGCTAGTCAGGTGGAGCCCTTCTTAAAATGTCTGAACACATAAAATAAAAGTTACAAAGAAAACCTAATGATATATTTATTTAGAAGGTTATGAAAGTATTTTTCCAATCCAAGTTAAAAGATCTTATAAAATGAATTCACTAACAAAAGTTCATGGACCCCAGTAGCAGAAATTATTATACTGGACAGAGGAAAGAGTTAAACTCTTTGAATATGCTGAGACCTTTTATCCAAGATTCTTATAAATGTCACCTCAAATTGTCTTTTAAGAATAAGATGTTCAGGGGGCAGGGGAGCATTATGTCAGTTTGGAAAGTTCTTTAAGCTAGAACCATTTGGATTTGGAATAATGCTAATTGATACAATTTGTTTCTGGCAGACTGGTGCCTAAAAAGAGACTACAGTATTAATATTTTGACTGTTAGTAAAGTGTCTTCTTCCAAAGAATAGATTTATAATGAAGTTTTATATAAGATCAAGGGTAAGGACATCAAGAAGAAAAAAATATTAACTTTTTTTTTTGTTTGTGAATAGTTTTACCTCAAAATACTGACCAAAACAAAAATTTGTTCTTAAGGGCAAATAAAGTTGTAATATTCTTTGCAAAGGTGGGGGGCATGGAAGTAAAACATAGAGCATACACTGTCAGAGTTGAGAGTACCTTAGTTTACTGAATTGCTTCCCCTTTTTAAAAATTTTTGTCATACAACATGGCTCCCTGGATAGGTGAGGGATATTATACTGGAAAATGAAGGTGATATAAAAGCAAGATATCAATGAAAGGTCAAAAATAAAAACAATGAAGTTTCCCCAGAAATTAATTTTATATTGTTACCTGGTATTATCAAGATATGCCAAATAAATATTTTGAGCATTTTGAAGTTTTCATTTGATAGGTATAATATCAAAGGTCCATGTTGGTAAGGAATGAACAAAACATTAGAAATTTTAAAGCCTTATAAGTCTTGTATATGTTTAAGGAAAAATACTCTGATCCTATGGTTTTTTTTGTTTTTGGCTAGGCAATGGGGTTAAGTGATGCAGCTAAGTGTCTAAGGCCAGATTTGAACTCTATTCCTTCTGACTCCAGGGACTGTGCTCTATCCACCACACCCTCTAGCTGCTCCCATCCTATGTTGAATATAACAAAAACCCCATCTTAAAAAAAAGTGCAGATAATTAAAGTGAATCTCTGGAGAAAATGTAATAGCTTAATTTACTGTCATACTACATTAATCGGAATATAATTATTGTCTCCTGTGTATAACATTATATGAACAAAAGAACTTTAGTACTACTATACAACATTTCTTAGTACAGTTGCCTTTCACTTTTCAATTTAAATCCTTAAGTATTCATAAAATCATAGAACATATGGGATAAAGCAACAGGAATTATTTATCAAGTCCAAAACTATTTTAAAAAGGATACACTTTGAAGTTCAATTAAAATAAAGACTACACTGAATACTAAATGTCATATTCGTTATTCCCATAAAGTAATGCAAGCTGTCCTTTTTAAATATTCCTCAAACATAGATCTGAACATATTACTCCCCTATTCAAAAGTCTTCCCTACTGCTAAAAAACAAAATACAAAATTCTTTGCATAGAATTTTAAATCCCCCATCTACCTCTCTATTCATTTCATTTTACTTGTCTTCAGGCACTAGCCCTTCCTCAAAACGACATTCCATCTTCTACAGCAATGCTTCTGTGCAAGGCAGTCCAACACATCTGGACATATTCCTCACCCATCATTTATAAAATCCACAGCTTCCTTCAAAGCACATGTCTCAAATGCTAGGTTCATGTACGAGACTTTCTTGAACCCTCTTATTTAGTGGCTCTCGATTGTCACATGTTATGTCTTACTTATAATCATACTGTTGGACCCCTCTAGTAAATAAGTTCCTGAAAGGCAAGAGCCCTTGTAGGGTGTGTATTTTTGTATCCCCGGATACACATGATAGGCCACTTTAAAAGGTATGTTAAATTGAATTAAAAAGTCCACAGTGGCAGCCTAGTGAAAGGAATCCTTGTGGAGTTCACAGTCTAGAGATCAGTATTTCAAAACGAGTTCTTCCATACACTCGTTATCATTTCACTTTTCTGGACCTAAATTTACATCTTTGTAAAACAAAAACATCTCATCAGATGACTCCGACTGCAACAATATAGTTAAGAAAAATCAACGATAGTTTTCTGGGTTGTTGTTTTTTTTTTTTTTGGCGGGAGGGGCAAGCTATTGAGCCTTTCAGGCCACGTGTCCTTATCATGGAGGGTGGCACTACCACTCTTCCACTTTCATCTGGCCTCCTAAGGTAGTACCTTCAAGACAGAGAGAGCAAGATAACTGCGAACCCCAGGCCCACCACACAAGCAGAGATTAGGGTCCCCCAAACCTCTCGCCCGGCAAATCAACACCTGGAATCAAGGGCACCGGCGGGAACAAGTCTCGGGTCTCGCGAGTTCTCAGAAGGCCCGGGCGCAGTCTTGAGCAGAGTTGAAGCCCAGCCGGTTCTCCACCCAAAACGGCCACGCGGCCTCGGTCCACACAAGGCGCAAAGAAGTGGGTCACTACAGAAATGCCTCACCTGATAATAAGAGACTAAAGTTAAGTTGATCGGTGGTTGTCAAACGTAAACACAGTAGGAAAGACACTCCGAAAATCAGCACCTACCTCTCCGCAGACAGCCACGAGGACGTCTGAGAACTTCCGCTCTCTCAGCCACGCCTTCCGGGGCATCCTTAATATACCCGCCAGGCGTCGCTCACGTAGGACCTCCGGAAGAGGCCTGAGGTGGCAGGACAGCGTGACGCACAGGGATTTCCTCCCCTCCCCTTTCGCAACAAGCTAAAACGACGCATGCGTATCCCTGCTTCCGGTTGCTTCTCCGGAGGGGGCCCCCACAATGCTCCGCGGCACCGGTTCCGACCTGTCGTAAAGGCCGCTTTTCGCTCGGGCGTGAACGACTCGCCTTCCGTGCTGGGCGGCGGTGGCTGCAGTGGCCTTTTTCCTTTTCCCCATTCCCCTCCAGTCGGACTCGAGCGGTGCAGTGCCCTGAGACTGGGCCCTCTCCGCGATGCCCCCCAAAAAACAGGCTCCAGCTGGGGGCAACAAGAAGGCGGAGCAGAAAAAGAAGAGAAAATCATTGAGGTGAGTGAGCGGCCCCTCCCTCCTCCCTCCGGAACTGGGCCCTCAGAGCGCCCGCGTCCGGGTCCGCAGGCCCTTGGATCTCTCGTGTCCACGTGCCTCGCTTCAGTTTCAATCCTGCCCCCTTGCAACCCGCTCCTCCCCATCCTTTTGCCGTGCTCATAACTTCTCTTCTCTCTAATCCCTATAGTGACGCTTCCCTTTCTATCGCCCTAGTGACTATGACCAGCGGCTAGGGTGAGCTGAGGGTGGGGGAATGAGAAAGGGAGAGGCATGGACTGCTATTGCTGCTCCTCCCCCTCCCCCTGCTGCTGCTGTCCCATCCCCCATCTTTGCAAAACATGCGCTCACACTTTGTATTCTCTCAGGATTTTATTTAAAAGTATGACCATCCTCGACCCCACTCCCCCCATTTAGTGTCCTCTCCTGTGCAGACGGATGGCCTTTGTCCTTTCCATCCAGTACACCGGGTGCTTGAGGAGTTTGGAAAGGCAGTGTTGTTCCTTGGTCTGCCAGTTAGACTTTCAGTCTAGCAATTCGTTCTTCGACTCTCTGGGCCTCTGCTTTCTCCCTCCCCCACACCCACTCCAACAAAAAAAGACACGTGAAGAGAAAAGAGATAGTGACAAAGTTGGTTTTTTTGTCCCAGTAATGTTGCCCTTTCAATCTAATCTCCTCTGTAAAGGAACTACAAAAATAACTGAAACAAGACTTTTACTCAATATAAATAGTTTTGGGCGCAGGGATTGGGGTAATTCAAAAATCAGGGTTTTGGGAATTTGTCCCTCCAAAGTGTATGTTAAACCATTCGATGTCTGTTTATATTCATTAAGTTATAAGGTGTTAAGCCCTTGAAAATAAAGATCAAGCTTTTAAATTCGGAGTTTTTCAAAATAGTTTTAATGTATTTTTTTGTATGAGACCCATACTAGAAACATAAGAAAGTCACTTAAAAGTCATATTCCCATCATTCTTTACTATTAGTGTTACCATAATTATTATTTTAAAAGAGGTAAACATTCAGCACATATGTGTATAATAGCTTTTTTGTTTCTATCTCAGAATAACTTTTTATGAGATGCTTATTTCTCCTACTGCTTTTAAAAGTTTTTTTTAATGTTAGATAAGTTTATTATATTTTAAAACTTCTCTTAGGGACTTAGTTGATACTGTTTACTACTACTTAAATAGTTATGAAAGTCCAGTATGTGCGGATCAAAACCGTACATTCTCAATTTGAAACCTCTTTGATTTCAGTAAAATATTTATGAAATAACGTGTTTGATCAAATAGTTTGTGACAGCAAGAAAGGTTTTCCACTGTCCGTTTTTTTTTCTTTTAAGGAAGAGTTTATTGCTTTTTTACGGTGTCACAAAATAATATAATGAAAGCTCAAATCTTTTCACCTCACCTGCTGCCATATTGTTATTTCAATTAAAAGACTTGTAGATGTTGAGTTACCTGTATTTAAACGAATAACTAGGTGGAGAATGGAATCTAGGTCTATTTAACTGAGAGTGTGTTTTGTTTTTTGGGGTTGTTGTTTTTTTTCCCTGACTCAAGTTAAAAATAAGAAAGTGAGATGGCCATCTGCTTTCCCCACCCACTTCTAGAATATTGCACTGCACCTTACTGTTTTACTGCTGTCACGAAATCAATAAAATAATTGTCGCTTGAATAATAACTATATACTTCAACAAAGTACCTCCTTGGTACAGTGTCAGCTTCATTGATAACTAACCCCAAGGACCTGCGTTACAAAGAGATTCTGATGCTGTCATTTTATTCAAAGTGCCTACTCTATGTACCTATTGGCTATATAATCTTCAAATTGGATTTTTTTCTGGCTTATTTGAACTTTTCTAGTTATTAAGAAGTTATAGTCACTTGCTATTTTCCATCTCCAACCAGTTTTTATGGTAGCTATGTTCTATTCAACTAACAAGCTTGTTTCTTAATCAGATTTTTATTGAATTTTGTTTTTTTGAATTACCTTCATTTCTAAATATAAAATTCTAGATTTATTTCTAGAAAAGACTTCACAGCCCATCTAATCTAACCCTTATTTTCCAAGTGAGGAAGGGCAGTTGTGATTTGACTTGTCCAAGGTCATACACATAGTATCCAAATATATTAAACTTTCTTTAAAAAAAAAAAAAAAGCTCTTTAGCTTTGTTTTGCTTAACAGAGAAGTCTCCAGAGGAAAATGTGATTAAAACAGCTTCATACCTGAACTCACAAGAAAGCATTATCCTGACAAATTAAATGTCAAAATTAAATATAGGCAGATATTTGCTTAAGAAAGAAGAGGAAACCCCTCTCCCCCCAAAAAAAAATACTGCTTATTAAAATTAAGAATAAAGTTAGTAACTGAGGTTCAAAACTGTTTTTAATTATGCCTTACATTTGCTTAGCCTGTTGATGTCTTTTTTTAACTTAAAAGCTGTTAGTACCAGAATCGTGTTTTTTATCTTATTCTTGATATGAAGACATTTTCATGTTAACATATTTATTGTTTAAATTTCATAAAGTTTGAGAACTGGTTATGTTCAATTCTGTGTTGTATGTAAGTGAATGAATATTTCATTCTAAAAGCTAATAATACCTAATGTTGCCTAGGTAAAAATAGAATTTGACAACTAACTGATTAGGTATGTGAAGTGAGGTTGCTCAGTCTGTCAGTAAGCATTTACTAAGAGACTACTTTGTGCCAAGCACTATGCAAAAGTTTGAGGATACAGAAAGACAAAAGATAGTTCGTAGGGTGCAGTATCTCAGTGTAGTAGAGGAGGCAAAAGAAGGAGTATTTAAGTTACACACCTGGAAGATAAAGATATGGAGTCTTTGACATAAAGAATTTTAAGAGAGGGCAGGGTTTGGGGAGAGGATATTAAGTTTGTTTTTAGATATGTTGAGCTTGGGACATTTTTAAATGTCCAGTAATTGGAGATGTGGTATTGATGATCAGAAGGTAGATTGGGGCTATATATATAGATCTTAGTCATCTGCATCTAGATAATTTGAACACATGGGAACTAATAAACTTACCAAAAGAGAACATAGAGGGAGATGAGGAGAGGTCCTAGGACAGAATCTTGAGGAACACCCACAGTTAGAATATATGACGATGATAATGAACCAGCAAAGGAGATTGAAAAAAAGAAGTGAATAGACAGGGAGGAAAATAACTAGGAAAGGAAAGGGTATTCACAAATTTAGAAAGGAATGGATTGGTTGAGAAGGACATGACCTGAGAAAAGACCAATCAGATTCAATAATCTTTCATCATTGGTAACTGAAAAGAAGAGTTTTAGGTGAGTAATGAGTTTAAAACTCATTTTGAAGACAGGAGGTAGAGGCAAGGAATAGAGACAGCTTTTCCAGGAGGTTTGCTGAGAAAGGAAGGAGAAATAACGTTACCTTGAAAAGGATTGTAGGCCCTAATTTTTTGTGTGTTTTTTTTTTTAGGATTGGGGAAAATTGGGCATATTTTAAGGCAACAGAGAAGGAACCAGTGGATAAAGAGAGGTTGAAGATTTGAGGAGGGCATATTGGCTTTGCACTCAGCTAGAGAAGATGGGAAGGCATGGAATCAAATATAGCTGTAGAAAGAGTTGTCTTTGCCAGGGAGAAGAGCCACTGTCAGAGACTAGAAAAAAGGAGAGAGTGAGGACTAATGGGAAGGGGTTTCAGATGAAGAGAATGGGGGCAAGTAGGTAGTGCAGTGGATAGAGCACTGGCTCTGTAGTCAGGAGGACCTAAATTCAAATGTGGCCTCAGACACTGTGTGACCCTGGGCAAGTCACTTAACCCCAATTGCCTTAAAAAAAAGTTGAAAAGTTAAGATGAAGAGAATGGAAAAGATAGCTCAGTTGAATGGCATCAATTGTTTCAGTAAAATAAGCGACAAGTTCCTCAGCTGAGAGGTAGAAGAGGAAGATGTGAAAGGCTTAAGGAGGGCAAAGAAGCAGTGAGGATACTGTGAAGAGTGGGGGAATCAATCGGGGAAGGTTAAAAGGACTCTAATTAAAGTTGGATAATCCAGGACAAGTTTGGCAAGAGATAAATTGAGCATCTGGGCAACTGAGATTAGAGAGCCAAGTACAATGTAGAATTAAAATGGCTAATTAATGGGCAGGATTTAAAAGGGAAAAAATGAACTAAGGTAATGTCCTGAGCAGGTACTAAGAGATGGAAGAATTGAAGGTCTCAATTGTTTAAGGAGAAGTGAGGCATAGGAAGAGAAGGAATAATAGGTAGTTATCATTAGACTGTAACATACACTGGATCTTGCAAGGGCCTTGGAATCATTATGAACATCAAATACAATTAATTGCAAGTGGACAGAAATGCTAGCTAATGAAATCAGGTAAGTCTGCTGTGTTTTAAACATTAGTGCTTTTTTTTTGCTTTTTTTTTCCCCCTTTGGGTGAGGCAGTCGGGGATAAGTGACTTGCCCAGGGATGGTCACACAACTAGTACGTGACAGGTATGTGAGGTGGGATTTGAACTTAGGTCCTCCTGACTACAAGGCCTGATCTCTATCCACTGTGCCACTAGCTCCCCGTAAACATCATTAGTGAAAGGAGTTCTGGATTTGGAAGAACTAGTTCCAAGTCATATTACCACTTATTAAAAAAGTGATGTTGAACAAGTCATTTGACCTGTGAGGAAGTTGAACAAAATGAATTGTTCAAAGATGCTTAGATACTATTAGACACTCACATCCTAACATGGTAGCTTTAAGTCCCTCTCCTCTCTATTCCATCTTCCAATCAAGTAACTATTAAGTATTTATTAAGTGCCTGCCATGTGTCAATCAGTGTCCTAGAACTGGGTCTGAAAAGCCAAAAATGAAAGTCTTTGCTTCTAAGGAGTTTACATTCTATTGGGAGAACAGTTAAGTGAGTGCAAGTGTCTGCAAACTAAATACAAGGTAATTTGAGGGATGAGCAGCTATGGAAAGGCCAATGTAGAAGGTGGCACTTTGAAGGAAATTGGCAATTCTAAGAAGTAAAAGTGAGGAGGGGAATGTACTTCGGACATGGGGGAGGGAAGGAAACCTGTACAAAAAAGGTAGAGAAAAGTGGGGAACAGCAAGAAGGCCAATATGGCTCAAACGTAGAGTGCCTGAAGTAGAATATAATAAAGCTGGAAAGGTAATTTGAAACCTGGTTGTAAAGTTAATAGGTAGCCCTGAATTTTAAGGAATGTATATGGTCAGACTTGTGTTTCAGGAATGGCATCTACAGATGGTATGGAAAGAGGAGAGATTGAAAGGAGACCACTTAGGAAGCCATTGCAATGGTCCATAAGAGATGCTGAGGCCTGCTCTAGTTCAGGGCCTTAACACTTCTTCTCAACCATTACAGTGGCCTTCTATTTGCTTTTCTAGATCATTTGGACCAATTTCTAACTTTCCCAATGGTGAATTCATTTATTAGTGTGTATATTTTCCCAAAGCCCTTCCAACATTGTCCTTTTTATCATCTTTGCCAGTTTGTTTAGTGTGAGGTATTTAATTTTCATTTCTTTTAGTAGTAGCAATCTTATGGTTGGTTATTTGTGAGTTGGTTTTTTGTCTTTTTTTTTCTGAAAACTTGTATCCTTTGACTTTTTTTAATTTATTAGGGATGGCTTTTAGTCTTGTATATTGTTGTCTCTTTCCTATAGATCTTATATATAAGATTTTTACTTTTAATGCAAATTATTCTTTCTTTATGTTCACCCCTCTCCTTCATTTGGTTAAAAATTCTCCCGAGTCATAGCCATGAAAAGATCTCTTTTTATGTATAAGTTGAGTATATATTTAAAGCTTATTATGAATTTATGATGCTGGTCTAAACCTAATCTCAGGCACACTACGCTTCCTTCTAATTGTGTTTTCTTGGCACATAGTAGGTGCATACTAAATGCAAGTTGAATAATTGATGAAATGCCAGACAATTGTATTTGGTTACGTTTGGGTTTTGCTTATTCTAGTCTGTTCCTCATATATTCATTTCTGGATTTTAACCAGTGCCAAATAGTTTTGAGGATGTTTATTTTATAATTACAGTGGGTTGTTTTGGTTTTGTTTTGTTTTTTTAATCTACCTTATCTTCAGGTATTAGGAAGTACCTAGACAATGAAATTACTAAAATTGAAATTCTTTAATAGCATTCAGCAAGTGATTAATAACTAAACAAAAATACGTCTGCCAGGATTTGACTTTTTAAAAACTTAATGATCACTTGCCTACTTTAAGTGTGATTTTGGATAGGAGCCTCAATAGAAAATAAGTTGTGAAAATCAGCTTGGGGATATAAGAGAGAGAAAGAGAGAGAGAAACTTAATGACTAGTTGAAACCTGCATCTTTTTTCTTTGTGAAGACCCTTTTATGATATTTCTCATTTAGGACAAAACTTTTGGTTTGAAGAATAAGAAAGGAGCAAAGCAACAGAAGTTCATCAAGGCTGTGACTCATCAAGTTAAATTTGGTCAACAAAATCCAAGACAGGTAAGTAATTTTCATGTTAAGCTTGATCATAAAATTTATCCATCAAGAAGTGTTTTATCAGATGAGTTATCATAGTTCATTTTAATGAGCCCACTGCATTCCTTATTTTCCTGAGCTACCTGACTTTGATCTGAATGGTAATGCTGTATCATAAAAGCTATTTATACTTAATCTGTAAAATTGTTATGAACAAGAAATATCTGTTAATTGGAACTTCATTCAGAAAGTTGATTGCCTTTTTCAGGGGGTTCTTTCAGTGCCTTCCTGTTAACCATGTACACACTTCTGACTCCAGAATAGAGAAAACCTTGATTTTTTTACCCATGAACTGGTAGACAGCAAGACTATCAAAAAATATTTAAGTGAAATGAGTTGTTTTTTGTCAGGCTCCCTCTTCCCCTTCCCTGAGCAGCATCTTTAATACAAAAAAATTTTAAAAGATAGGAAAAAAATTCAGCAAAACTAACCAACATATTTAAAGGGTCTGACGCTATGTGTAGTGTCCCATATGCCTTTTCTCTTACCTCTGCAAAGAAGTAGAAGGTTGTACCTTCTCTTTTCATTGGGGCCCAGATTATATGTTACTATTTTATCACACACAGCTTTAATTATTTTGTTGTTCTTTCCATTTACATTATTGTAGTCATTCTATATGTTGGTTCCCTAGTTCTGCTCATTTCATTTTACATCAGTCTTCCCACACTTCTCTATTCATCAAATTCATTATTTCTTAGATCATAGTCATATACCATTACATTTCTATACATAAGACAAGTTTTTTCAGCCATTCTCCAGTCTGTGGCCATCTATTTTGTTTACAATTCTTTACTAAGAAAAAAAGTTTGCTATAAATATTTTGGTGCGTGTGGAGCCTTTTTATTAATGGTCTTAGAACATATGCCAGAAGGCATAATCTTTGGGTCAAATTGTATGGGCATTTTTGTCACCTTTTTTGGCATAATTCCAAATTGCTTTTCAGAATATTTGGACTGGTTCGCAGCTCCACCAACAAGGTATCAGTGGGCCTATCTTTCACATCCCCTCTCACACTGACTATTCCCATCTTTTATCAACTTTTCCAGTTTTCTAGAGGTGAGGTGAAACCTCAGGTTACTTGATTTGCATTTCTTTTCTTTTTTTAATTTAAAGCACTGTTTAATGTGGTTAATAGTTGGCAATTTTTCTTTTAAGAATTCTTTATTCATATCCTTTAACTACTGATCAATTGGGCAATGGCTTTTGATCTTATATATCACAAAAATGTATTTATACTTAATTTAGATATAATTTTTACAGTGTAGCCCATGTTTTCTCAGTGTATGAGAAATTAGAAGCAGCAAAATAGGAAGGTCAACATAAATTGTTTCTTAAAGGCATACTATACTGATAGTAGTTGTAAATGACAACCAGTCACAGATTTGGAAAGAATAAGCATAAGCTAAAAAATAGATATAAGAAAAAAGAACCAATGAAGGGAATCGACAAAGCAGAAACAGTGATTGGGCAGGGAGGCAGTGGAATATGACTACTTCAATTTAGAATTTATTATGAAGAAGAAAGGGGAATAAAGCATGGCATAAGAAGACAGATTTATAAGAAAGTATAGGTAGGGTCCCATGGCCTAAACTTTTACAAAAGAAATCATAGGAGGTTGGTAAGCACTCAACAATGAATAAAACCACAAAAGTAAACAATCTTGATAGAAAGAAAAAAGGCAGGGAAGGGTTGGGAGGACTTGTGTAAAGGCCAGTGTCAATGTTTAAGCTCATTACCAATTAATTTTTAAAAAAAAGACATGAAGGCATTTTTAAAAATTATAATGAAGGAGGATTAATTTTTTAAAAGCATGACATGAACTTACTAAAATGGTGTCAGGAACCGAGGCTGCCTAGGAATGGTAAGAACAACAAAAGTAGGTACATTTTACTTCTTTTTAAAAATTCCTTTATGTGAGGCAGCTAGGTGGCACAGTGGATAGAGCACCAGCTCTGAAATCATGGAGGACCCAAGTTCAAATCCAGCCTCAGACACTTGATACTTACTAGCTGTGTGACTCTGGGCAAGTCACGTAACCCCAACTGCCTCGCCCAAAAACAAAAACAAAATTCCCTTATGTGACTTCATAGTCATCACATAGTACCAAATAAATAATGTTACACTAGAGTGTATGTTTGTGTGTGCATGTGCCCACATACACACATGCATAACTTTCTTCAACGAGATTAATACAGCTGAATTTTTTAAGTGGTATTGGCCAACTTTATAAAACCAGCATTCTTCTTAGTTTATATACTTTTAATATAGTCCTTGACAGGTATGGATTTGTAAATTCCCTAATGATTAGAAAAGGAAAATTCTTCTTTTGTTGGGCACATGAACTCTCTTGGGTTGGGGAAGGAAAAAGGAAAAACACAAGTTTTATTGAGAAGGCTGTAAAATTGAACTGAGTGTACTACTGTAGCATCCTACTTTCTTCAGTAAGACTAGAAAGTTATTTTTCATTATATAGGTTTATGAGGAGTACATCTATACTGACTGCCCTAACATTAGGATTCTCATCTGTTGTTACTTTTCTGTTGATCTGTGCAGTAAGATTTTAGCAAATATACCTCCTGAAGGAACTAAGTAGGAAAAAAACTATTTGTTTTTATCAATAAAATATTATTTTATTTCCAGAAGATTTTTGGCAAGTAGTTATAATAAAGTACTTAGGGAATAGCTGTTAACCAAAATGTTTTAATGAACAGAGCAACCAGTTGGTCCCTCATTAAGGGGACCCTCATTTAGAAGAAATTTTTTGCTGCATTTTTCAGTATGTATATTTACTTTAAAATAAATACAAACTAATGAAGCTTTGAAGAATTACTATACATCAAAAAGAAAAAATATGACTTTAAGAAAGTGATAATTTGGTGGTTTATTGAATTTATTGTATGCTAATAATTTCATAGATATCACTTCCAACTAAAGGATAAAATCCTTGAAAACTGTTGTTGTGTTAAAATTTCTTTTACATCTTCTATAAGATTATTGAAAATTCTGTTTTAAGTGTATTTAACATGGAAAAGAGCATCATCTCTAACATTGTCACAGAGACAAAGGTAATGTCTGTATTGTATGGTATACAAATTGCTTTGTACGGAGCATAGCTTAACTTATGTAACCAATCCATAGCATAGCAATGCTTCACTGTATTTAGTCTTTGGAATTAAGTGATCTAAAATTAATATTTTAAATCTGGAATTATAGGCTGCACAGAATGAAGGTGATAAAAAATTGAAGAAAGATGACAAGAAGAAAGAACTTCAGGAGCTAAATGAACTATTCAAACCAGTAGTTGCTGCTCAGAAAATAAGTAAAGGTAAAATTGAGAATTTGTTTCATTTGTGTTTAGCATAACTCATATAAAACTCTTAAAATCCATTTTATTTGCATTTGTTTTCAAAACATACTTACTGAAAATAACTAACTTGTAATTAATGATCCTTTAGGTCAAGTACACCATTGACTGATAACTCCTTTCTTGCTGTTAATTATTTATTCAACTCTGTAGGTCAAACACAAGTGGGCCCACCTATTTTACATAGTATCAGTATGATACAATTACATTCTAGTGTATCCAAATTCCAGAAAATCCATGTTGAAAATTGTTAATCACCTCCTAAAAAAGAGGTAATGGTTTCAGGGTACAAATTAAACACATAATTTTTGGACATGGCCTATTAAGGAATGAGTGTTTTACTTGGCTAAGTATATTTGTTACAGGTTTTTGTTTTGTTTTGTTTCCAAATGGAGGGAAAGCAGGAGAAAAAGAGATAAAAGAGATTTTAATCAAAAAGATTAAATTTTAAAATCTAGTATCAAAATAATTTAGACTGTACATCTAAGGTGCTCATAATCAGATTTTATGGTGTATATTGTGAATTAACATGAAGAGTTGTTTTGTTGTCAATTATGAGCAGTAACCTGGTAGCATGTGTTTATACCAGTAACTTTTTAACTTCAGAGTTAACATTTTTTTTTCTGTTTTGGGGTCTACTTTGTTCCTCATGCGTGGCATAATATATGACATTTTTTAAAAATTTAAATTAATTTTTGTTTTACTTTTATAGAGTACCTTAAGATAACTACAAGCAATCTGAAATATTAATTTTGTGGCTGCTTCCCCCCCAATCCAATGAACATTTATTTATTATGAACCTTGTGCAACATACAGAAAGTAACAACCTTATGTATTTTTTAAATAATTAATTAATATTTTGTTTTCGCCATTTACTTCCATAAAATTTTGAGTTGTTTTTTTTTTCCCATTCCTCTTCCCGGGGATAGTGGAAAGAGCCTCCGGAGATGGCATGCAATTCTATATAGGCTCTACTTATTCATATTAAGCATATTTTCCCATTAGTTATGATGTAAAGAACAACTAGAACTAATGGGAGGGACCATGAGAATGAAGCAATAAAACAAAACAGTAGAGGAAAAGGAGAGAAAGTAGTATTCTTCCATCTGCTTTCAGACTCCATAGTTCTTTCTCTGGATGTGAATAGCATTTTCCATGAGTCTTTTTAAGATGTCTTAGATCCTTGCATTGCTGAGAAGAGCCAAGTGTATCAAAGTTAGTCACTGTACAATGTGGCTGTTACTGTGTACAGTGTTCTCCTGGTTCTGCTCACTTCACTTAGCAGCAGTCAATACGAGTCTTTCCAGGTTTTTCTGAAGTCTGCCTGTGCATCATTTCTTATAGCACAATAGTATTCCATTACATTCATATACCACAACTTGTTCAGCCATTCCCCAATTGATGGGCATTCCCTCAGTTTCCAATTCTTTGCCACCACCATAAGAGCAGCTACAAATATTTTTGTACACATGGGTCCTTTTCTTGTTTTTGCTTAGAGATAAAGACCTAGAAGTGGTGTTGCTAGGTAAGGGTAGATACAATTTTATAGCCCTTTGGGCATAATTCCAAATTGCTTTCCAGAATGGTTGCATCAGGGGCAGCTAGGTGGCGCAGTGGATAGAGCACCGACCCTGGGTTCAGGAGGACCTGAGTTCAAAACCGGCCTCAGACACATAGCACTTACTAGCTGTGTGACCCTGGGCAAGTCACTTAACCCCCATTACCCAACCAAAAAAACAAACAAACAGAATGGTTGGATCAGTTTACAATTCCACCAACAATGCATTAGTGTTCATTTTCCCACATCTTCTCCAACGTTTATCGTTTACTTGTATTGTCATGTTAGCCAATCTAATAGGTATGATGTGGTACCTCAGAGTCGTTTTGATTTGCATTTGTCTATAATAGTGATTTAGAACATTTTTTCATATAACTACAGATAGCTTTAATTTCTTCCTCTGAAAACTTCCTGTTCATATCCTTTGACCATTTATCAATTAGGGAATGACTTGTATTCTTACAAATTGGACTCAGTTCTCTACATGTTTTAGGAATGAGGCCTTTTTCAGAGATACTAGTTGTGAAAATTTTTTCCCAGTTTTCTGCTTGCCTCCTAACCTTGGATACATTGGCTTTGTGTAAAAACTTTTCAATTTAATGTAGTAATCAGAATTATCTATTTTGTATTTCATAATGTTCTCTATCTTTTGTTTGGTCATAATTTCTTCCCTTCTCCATAGATCTGAAAGGTAAACTATTCCTTGCTCTCCTAGTTTGCTTATAGTATCAGTCTTTATATCTAAATCACGTACCCATTTTGACTTTATCTTGATATAGGGTATGAGATGTTGGTCTATACTCATTTTCTGCCGTGCTATTTTCCAGTTCTCCCAGTAGTTTTTATTAAATAGTGATTTCTTATCCCAGAAGCTAGAGTCTTTGGATTTATCAAAGAGTAAATTAGTATAGTCATTGACTGTTGTATCTTGAATACATAACCTATTCCACTGAACCTATTCCACTGATCCACTACTCTGTTTCTTAGCCAGTACAGCTGGTACAGGTAGGCCACCTTCTCTTGCATTTCTTTTCATTAGTTCCCTTGATATTCTGGACCTTTTGTTCTTCCAGATGAGTTTTGTTATTGTTTTTTCTAGCTCTGTAAAAAATTTTTTGGGGGTAATTTGATTGATATGACGCTGAATAAGTAGATTAATTTAGGTAGAATTATCATTTTTATTATATTAGCTCTGCCTACCCATGAGGAACTGATATTTTTCCAGTTATTTAGATTTGACTTTATTTGTGTGAAAAGGGTTTTATAATTGTGTTCATATAGTTCCTGGTTTTGTTTTGGTAGTAGTCTCCCAAATGCTTTAATTTTAAATGGAATTTCTCTTTCTATCTCTTGCTATTGGGCTTTGTTAGTAATATATAGAAATTCCGATGATTTGTGTGGGTTTATTTTATATCCTACAACTTTGCTAATTTGTTTATTATTTCAGGTAATTTTTTACTTGATTCTTTAGGATTCTCCGAGTATACCATCATATCCTCTGCAAAGACTGATAGCTTTGTTTCTTCTTTGCCTGTTCTAATTCCTTCAATTTCTTCTCTGATTGCTAAAGCTAACATATTTGTAGCACAGGTGTAACAGGGGTGATAATGAACATCCTTGTTTCACCCCTGATCTTATTGGAAATGCTTCTAGTTTATCCCCATTGCATATAATGTTTGCTGCTGGTTTTTGATAGATGCTATCTATTATTTTAAGGAAAACTCCATTTATTGCAATGCTCTCTAGTGTTTTTAATAGGAATGGGTGTTGTATTTTGTCAAGTGTTTTTGTATTTTGTCAGGTGTATTTTCTGTAGCTGCTTTTTTTCCTGCTTTTTTCCCACCAAGATAGAATAGCTAAAAGACTTGAATTACTGTCATTGCTATTACCCTAGCACATAATATGGCCTCTTCCCCAAAAGACCAATTTCTGTTCCTCATCTTCTTCATATGACTGTGACCTTGTAAGCCTTTGAGGCTGCTCCTCTAAGCTAGTACTTTATGAGAGCTTGCTACTGGCCTTGAGGACCCAGTCATCAGGTGTTTAATTAGCTCTGCCACCTCATTCCATCTCTCTTCTCTTTCAAGAAAAGGAGCACTTGTCAGTGCCACTAAATTTCCCTCAGTTATCCCTGGACTCTAAAGGGCCAGCCCCAGGGAGCTGGTATTTCGCTAATCTTATGGCTAGCAAACTTTTACTTCTTGGTCCCTTAATTCTTATGATTGAGTCATAGTCTGCCAATATAAAAAATGCCTTTCCCCTAGTATCTCTTTCATTTCTATGCAACTTAGCTTTCACCTTCAGTCTCTTTCTTCTGCTTCACACCTTGCATTTATGCTCTATGGGAACCCTTTATCTATTATTAACAAAGTCCCCTTCATCCTAGATCTATCTCTTCCTCTCATGTTTACTCAGTTATCTTTTTCTCAGTTCTTATGCTTTCTGCAGTTTTTGGTACTGCCAATCTAATGATACCCTGCTTCCTGGATATGTTCTTACTGTGATTTTCATGACACACTTTTCCCAGTTTTTCCTAACTTCTTTGCTGAATAATCTCATCTCTTTAACAAAGGGTATATGCCAGTCTGAGTCTTGAGCGTTCTTCTCTTCAGCTTGTCTTCCTTCTTTGGTGAATTTATCACTTTCCATGGATTCGGTTGAGAAATATGCAAAAGACTCCTGTGTCTCTAGCCCTAATAGTCTTCCTCCTGAATTCCATTCCCATCCCACCAGCTGCCTGCTGAGCATCTCCACCTAGATGTCCCTTTGGACTCAAACTCAGCACGTTCAAAGGAAAAGAATACAAATATATCTTTTGAGAACATCAGCACCATGGTGTAATTTAAGAATATCATAATTGGAATCCCAAGACCCGTCAGCTTAAAATCCTCAAAAATTGTTAATAAAGGCAATGTTAGCCTGCACCATATGATTATAAATATTTACCTACTCAATTTTTATCTCATATACATACTATGAATTTTAAAAATTTAAGAGAGTAGATTTAGATGTAACTGGATTACAAGTCATTATTAGTCATGCATATTTTTAAATATAATAGTATGTATTATGGAAAGAGGACTGGTTCTGGAATCAAAGGACATAGGTTAAATCCTACTTCTTAACTCTTAGCACCTGTAAGACTATGGGCAAATCATTTAATGTCTCAGCTTCCTCATTTGTAAAATAAGGGATTTGGACTAGAGGGCTTCTAAGGTCCCTTCCACTGTTAAATCTATGATTCTTCACACATTCAACAAATTGGCCTGCTTACTGCTTCAGTATACAACATTCCATCTCCTATCATCATTCTTTGTTCCGTGCCTGGGAGTGGGTTGGTTGTCTTTTCACCTCTGTTTCAAAGAATCTTCAGATTCTTCAAAGCTCAGTGAAGTGCCACTTCATACTGTACAACTATCTGCATGCAAATTACCTTGTGTAGACTTTATTTTTTGTATAACCTCAGTATGTTTTATTTTTGTCAAAAGTTCCTCGATGGCATAGATGGTTTCCTTTTTGCATGTGTATGTTCGATGCTCATATCTAATAAGCACCATGCTTGTCACGTAGCAGGTTAAAAGTTGGTTGAATTGAAATGAATAGTAAAGAAATTAGTTGAGAGTCACGAAGTGGTCTGGCTGTCATTAAAAAGGCTTGATACATACTAGAGTTGTGATCACAGGCAAATTTCTTAACCTGTCGGTGGCCTGGATAACTCTTAATACTTTAAGTTATGGATGAGTTACCAGTATTCTTCTGTGGAGGAGTTTCCACCATGGAAATTACATAACCTGTGATATCACAGATGTGGATTTTTTTAAATAAAATAAATTGCATTATTTACATGTAATTATAGCTTAATCTTTTAATCAATGCATTGACCTCATCAATTTATACAAAAGCTAATTATGCTCCATACTGACACAGTTCCTCAAGATTCTGATGATGATAATACCTGATTCACTTATTTGGAATTTATACCCTGCCTACCTCCAAACAGGATTAATAGAAGGTTATAATGCCAAATTTTATCTTTCATTTGTCACAGGTGCAGATCCCAAATCAGTAGTATGTGCATTCTTCAAGCAAGGGCAGTGTACTAAAGGAGATAAATGTAAGTTCTCCCATGATTTATCTCTGGAAAGAAAATGTGAAAAACGAAGTGTTTATATAGATGCAAGAGATGAAGAACTTGAAAAAGGTACATATGGTTTTTCTGTTATTAAATCTGAATATCAGTTTTTAGTTCATTGGTAGTAGTGTTCAGTAACTTAAAGAACTTTCATAAGCAATTGGAATCACTTGCCTAAATATTATAATTTTTTCTGAGTTGTAAAATCATACTTCCTTATGTCATTTTTACATTATTAAATTAAAACATGTAAAGAACAGTTAACTGTACCAGCAATTTTTGCGATGTTATTTATCTTTAACAAAATATCCAAATTTTTCTTAGGAGAAATATTATGTAATGAGGAGGAGCTGTAGCTATTTTAATTTTAACATCTTTCATATCTAGATACCATGGATAATTGGGATGAGAAAAAGCTGGAAGAAGTGGTGAACAAGAAGCATGGTGAGGCGGAAAAGAAAAAACCAAAAACTCAAATAGTATGTCCTTTTCTTGAATTGAGTTTGCAGTATTTGTTATCATTAGGGAGAAATTAATATGGCAAGGTATTTGACTCTTTTTAATAGGTCATACCTTAAATTTAAAAATTCAGTTTATGATAAGTATAAATGTGGGTTACAGGGAAACAAGGTTTTATTTTTAAAACAGACTTTAGAATACTTGATATGCCTTTTATTTTAATGCATCTCTTATTTCATTGATTTTGTTATCCAGCCACTGGTGCATATTACAATCCTTCTGCACAATCCTTTCCCATGTAGTTATTTTACCATGTTCGACCATAGATTTTCCCATTGTCCTAGGGACCTTACTTTAGGTTGTTTTATGTTTTATGAGTACCACTAAAAACTCATGATGCCCATCTACTGTTATCCCTTACTCTTGTCAGACCCTCTCCTCCCCTTCCTTTTCCTGAACTAAATATAACATATACCACCTCCTGCGTGTAGGGTATCCCGAGAAATAGTCTGAACGTCGTACATTCACCGTACATCCCTCCATTGCCTTTTAAATACTTGATGCTGGCGTTTGAGGTTCATAACCATGTGACATTACTGCTAGAACATTTGTATTTAGAAGGTGGAGCTTTGTTCTAGAGAGTACTTTTGGATCATTAAAACCACATGTAGACCTGTAAGTATGATTTAAACATGTTCTACTCCTCTATTCTAGACCTAATTCGTTGCTCATTTAAAATATCTGCCCAAGATAAATGTGTTGATATATTACCTAGACCAACTGGTCTTCCAAATACACGGCATAGTCAGAACAACAGGCATTTTTCATTCATTTTGCTCCTATAGATTGTTAGGCTGATTTTTAAGGGATCCTGGATGGGGATGTGAGAACGTCTACAGGGATGCTTGGCCAGCAGTATTGGAGGTGTTGTCACCAGTTCCCCATTGCCCCTGCCTCTCCTGTATCCTGAATTTTATTTCCCTGAAAGCTTTAAGTGTTTATGTCAAACTGAGTGTTAGTGTCAGAATAGTAGTTCCCCAGATGATGAAAGTGGATTGTTAGAGAAATGCTTACATATCTGTTCAGTTTTCCATCAGTTTGATGTATTTTCGTTAGCTTGTTGTCTTCCTATATATGTGTCCTTGGGATGATAATCACTTAATTGGGTTTCAGATCAAGCTTTTTGTCAACTTAATTTAACCTTCTTTGCTTTTCACTGTCATAGTCTTCTTATCCATGACATTTTAATCAGTTTCATCCTCACATAATCATAAATTTAGGCCTTGAAGGGACTTTGGAAATATTCTAGTCCAAGTCCCTGTTTTTATGAAAAAGAAAACTGAGGTCCAAAGAGGTTAAGTGTTTTGTTCAAGTTTACAGTGGGGAATAGCACATAGGCAAAGAGCTAGGGTTGGGACTCAGGTCCTGTGACTCCCAATTTCAGTGCTCCTTCCAGTGAGTGGAAATAGTTCCTACTATTGTTCTGTATGCACTATATCCCAGCATTTCTAGTTTGTCCATTCAGCTCATCAGATTTCTGTGCCTCTTCATTCATTTTCTTCCTGGTGTTATTTTTGTTCACCATCATCATAAGTGCTGCAAAATAATATGATCAAATATGCTATGTCAGGTCAACTTGGAAAAGCCTTTTTAAGTACCTGCTATGTGCCAGACACTGCTACGTGATGGAGATTAATGAAAGAGAAATAACGGTCCCTGCTCTTAAGGAGCTCACAGTCTAATGGGAAAGACAGCATGCAAACAACTGCACAAAAGTATATACAGGATAAATTGGAGATAATCTTAGATGAAAGGTACTAGCATCAAGGAAAATTGGGAAGGGCAGAAGGTAAGATTTTTAACTGGAATCTGAAGGAAGCTGAAAGATAGAGTAGAGAAAGGAGAGTTTGGGGGGTTTTGGGGAGGGCAGCCAGCAAAAATGTGCTTAATGATTGTCATATGAGAAGAACAGAAAGGAAGCCAATGTCATTGGATTGCTAAGTAACAGAGTTTGTAGAGGGGGGAGTAAGGTGTAATGACAGTGGAAAGGTAGGAAGGGACCACACTGTGAAAGGCTTTAAAAGCCAAAGAGAAGATTTTATATTTGATCCTACCATAATAGGAAGTCACTGGAGTTTATTGAATGAGAAAGGAAGAGAGAGTGACTTGGTCAGACCTTGTACTTCAGGAAGATTAATTTGACAGCTGAGTGGAGGATAGAATGTCCTGAGGAGAGATTTGTGGCAGGGAAACCAATTAAAAACCTCTTTCAGTAGTCTAAACATGAGTTGTTATGGATCTGTACCAGGACAATAGCAATGTCAGAGGAGAATAAGACATACAAGAGATGTGGCAAAGATAGAATGGCTAAGACCTGACTTAGCTTATTAAATGGGGGGGGCATATAAGAGAGTGAGGAGTTAAGGATGAGAGAAATTTTCGATAGAGAAGGGAGTGAGTTTTGGAGGGAAACAATGAGTTAAGATTTTTTGGACATGCTAAGTTTAAGATGTCTATTGTACAATGTTCAGTAGGCAATTTGAGGTGAGAGACTGAAGGTTGGGAGAGGGTTAGGGCTAGATAAATCTGAGAATTATCTGCCGTAGATGTGATAAAATTGAATGTATAGTTACTGATGAGATCAAGCAAAATATAAGTTATAGAGAGACAAGAGAAAAAGGCCCAGGACCAGAGCTTTGGAGGACACACAGAGTCAGTGGGTAAGACTTTTTTTTCTTCTTATCTATGTACATTGAACTTAAGTGGTCTTTGGAATTAAAAATCTCAGTTGGCATAATTTTGAATTACTAAAACTGGAAGAAAACATTTTGACATTTGGGGAAACGAATTTTAGACATGAAATGGCTTTAGTGTTCAAGAAGTTGATGCGATTTTTCAAGTTCATATGACCTGCCCTATTTCACAGACCTTTTCACTTAGTTATTTGTATTTATCTATAATTCTTTAATAGCTATCCTTTGTCATTTTATACCTGTCTGTTCCTTATGCCTTAATAATTGACATTAAAAGCTACTAATATCTGTGTAGTTATCTCAGATTAGTAAACTTGCATTTTATAAGGTAAATAAACATTAGAACGGGCTTTTTTTTTCCTTCATGGCTGTTAATATGAACTTTATAAGCTATATATATATAAATAAATTGAATTATATGAAAGCATTTAAGGATTCAACTAAATCTATGATTTGTGTGTATAAGTGTAATTATAATTAGTTGACCATTACATTATTTTATAATTTAAAAGCTCCAAAGTTTTTCTTTGCATTTTTTTCCTTGTAATTGTTTTTTAAGCTGAAATTTTGTGTTTGTGCAGATGAAAATTTATCTTTTCTGTATTCTTAATATTACCACAAAAGATATTCAAGGACAGAAGAGCAGTTATCAGTGAAAATTATTGTTTCTTTATAGGTATGCAAACATTTTCTTGATGCTATTGAAAACAACAAATATGGCTGGTTTTGGGTTTGCCCTGGAGGTGGTGATAATTGTATGTACCGTCATGCTCTTCCTCCTGGTTTTGTATTAAAAAAAGATAAAAAGAAAGAAGAAAAAGAAGATGAAATTTCATTAGAAGATCTAATCGAAAGAGAGGTAACTATAACAGGTTGTGGATTTTGGGTTGTGTTTTTGTTTCTTAGGAGTTTGTTTTGTTTTTTGGGTTTCTTCCAATCCTAAAGACAGCCTTTATTGTGAATTTTTAATGTTTGCCACTTGGGGGCAACAGCACAGTTTTGTTTGAAAAAGATGATTAATGTAGCCTGTTTAATGGTAAAGATTTTATTGTTCTAACCTTAAGCTTATGTGTTATATTTGTTTTTTATTGAGATAGCTTTCAGCTTTTGCTCATTGATATAAAATTATACTTTTTTGAAAACTGGTTTGATGCATTTATGTGTGTTTAGACTTGAGCAGCTATGAGATAACTAGGTGGTTCAGTGGGTAGAATGATGGGATTGGAGTCAGGAAGATAGATAGGAGTTCAGATGTGGCCTCAGATAACTCTTTTAGCTGTATGACTCTGGGCAAGCCACTTAACCTTCGTCTGTCTTAATGCACTGGTGAGAAAATGGCAGACTACTCTAATATCTTTTCCAAGAAAATCCCATATGGGGTCAGAAAGAGTGAGATGTGACTGAAATGCCTGAACAACAAGAAGACATGAGTAGAAAGAAAAAATCTTGAGATAGAATCAAAATCTCTCTTTTGCAACTTTAATTCTAGTGAGACATTTATCAGAAAGGAATGAATGAACAAATTAACTTAAAAGTATTTATTAAGTACTTAATATGTGTCAAGCACTATGCTAAGTGCCAAGAATACAAATAGAAAAATCAAAATAGACCGTACTCTCAAGGACCTCATATAGTCTAATTGGGGGAGATAATAAATAAAAGGCAGTTTGCCTACAGAGTAAATGGCAAGGCCCTAAAATCCTAGTTGGCTAAATAAGTAGTTTAGTTGACAGTGAGGTTCTTAACCTTTTGTGAAACGGACTTCTTTGGCAGTCTAGTGAAACCTAGGGATCCCTCCTCAGAATAATGTTTTTAAGTTCATAAAGTGGAATACATAGGATTATAAAGGAAACCAGTTACATTGAAATTGAGGCTCTGTGTGTATATATTTCTTTAGAGTTCTTGAACCTCAAGTTAAGATTCCTTGGCCTACATCATCTTAGCAGGCACTAATAAGGCATATAGGGCCTGTTGGTCCTCCATTTCATCAGAAAATATGGTGTTGTCAATGGCCATCTCATCTAAGCCCTGTCAGCAGTCAGGCAGCGCAGCCAAAGAGGGAGGAAGAGTAGGGCTTCTTAGGACTCGACCAAAACGAAATGTGGATTGTGTGTGTGTTTCAGAGTTTTGTTCCTTATGTCTCAGCATGGATAATCTACAGTACAATAAAATTATGTAATTATGCAGTTTATACTATTAGGGTTCACCAACCTAATTCCTAGACTTATAGATTACATCATGGTTCACAGTCTTCGGTTAACATTTTTATTAAGCAGTTTTCCTTATAAATTATTAATTTGCAAGGGAAACAATGAAATAAAACTTTTACATCATTAATTCTTATCATCACTTTCCTAGGTGGTATTAGAGATTCAGTTGTTTATTTCTTGGGAATATAGATCTTCTATGAAACCCTTCCATACTGCTTCTAATTTTGTAAAAACTTTTGACTATTCAGAGTATGGTATAATTAGTCTGTAATACATTAAGTAAAGTTGAACCTCATTTTTTAAGAATTATTGACCATTGGTGTTTGTGGGGAGAAAATTAAATGCTACCTCATTTTACTACCATATAATCTTCAGAATAATTCTTAGAATCAGGGACATTGTAAAAAAATCTGTTCTTTTGATACAGTACTGGAAACATGGCTTTCTAAAAAGGTGAGTTAACTTTTTTTTTAAATCTCTCCAGCGTTCTGCTTTAGGACCAAATGTTACCAAAATCACATTAGAGTCTTTTCTTGCATGGAAGAAAAGGAAAAGACAAGAGAAGATTGATAAGCTTGAGCAAGATATGGAAAGAAGAAAAGCAGACTTTAAGGCAGGAAAAGCACTGGTGGTAGGTTCTAAAATAATTATCATGTCAGTACTAAAGATAGTAACTATATGGAACATTAGATAGGAAACCTGCAGTAGACAACAAAGTTTTTCGTTGTTTTTTAATTCTGAAATTCTGACATTGAGTATTTAACATACGTGTATTTGTATATGAGTAGATCAGTGGCCGTGAAGTATTTGAATTTCGTCCTGAGCTGGTTGATGATGATGATGAAGAAGCAGACGATACCCGGTACACTCAAGGAACAGGTGGTGACGAGGTAAAAGGATGCTTATGATAACCAATTATGTCTTTGCTGTTGTTAGATTGTAGATTTAAAGATGGAATATTAGGGTCTTAAATCCAGTCCCTTCGTTTAACCAGTGAGGGAGGTAAAGCTCTGAGGGGTGAAGTAAGTTGTCTAAGATCACACTAGTAAGTAGCAAAGCTGTGATGAAGCCTAGGGTCTCTAATTTCAGAAGCCAGTCCTCTTCCCACCAGACTGTCCTGCAGAATCCAGAGCATTTTGTAGAGAACTAAATAAAATCAGTGGCAGAGCAGAATTAGTAGAAAAGGGTAGAAGGAGTAATGGGGAAAGTAGAGTCAACAAAACAATCATGGTCAAGTGATTGTGAGTACACTTGGAAGTAATAGCAAATAGACTGTCTGATTTCCTCTCCTGGAAAAGGATAGTAAGTATGAAATGGTGTTTCAGGAAATGACCAATAAGTAGTAGTGCAAGTTCAGAAAAGAAAATTTAGCCATAAATTGCTTGGGTTGTCTTTCAGAGTTGAGCATTTTTACCTGGCATCATATAATATTGGTTCATTTGGGGGATGATCTTTGGACATGAAAAGTGTTACCAAAAAAAAATATGAGTGATAGATGTATCTATTATAGATAAATAATATAATAAATATATAGATATCATATATTGTTTATCTATAATATCTCTTCATATTTGTAGCAGAATTTTCATTTTTGTGTTTTTTCTTGAAGGTTGAAGATCTAATAAGAGTAAATGATATTGATTTGAGCCAGTACATCCCAAAGGACGTAGATGAGACTGGTATTACTGTGGCCAGTCTTGAAAGATTCAGTACATATACTTCAGTAGAGAAGGATGGTAAGTAGGCTAATATATGTATATTTCCAAGAAGTAGAAAACTGAATGGAGTCGTTATATTTTTTTTTCCAAAAAACTATTTCTCAAGAGCTAGAAATCACAAAAGAAATATGATTTTGTGAAATATCTCTACTTCTGATAGTTAAAAAATGAATATATAATAGTAAAAAGCAACCATAACACTGCATGTTACTTCCCTTTTCTTAAATTTCTTGCTTTATAACTAACACTTGGGAACTAAATAAAGTGTATTTGCTTTATATCTTTGATACCATGCTATAGCGCTTTATTTTGCAATATTCTTTTAATATGGGCATGGACTTTTGCCCTTTTAATAATCACATTACAATAGTTTTAAGACTTCACTTTTTTAAAATTAGGCAAATATAGCCAACATAGATAATTGCTAGAAAGTAAACAAGATATACATTATATTTTAAAGCCCTATTTCAAACAGTAGTTAATAAACATCCTACATTATAAGATGTTTATTAAGCTTCTGCATACAAATCCAAGGGATAAATAATCCACTTGGCAGTTGTTAAAATTGGCCTGTAATACAGTCTGGAACATTTTTTGTTCAGATACAGCAAACAGAAAACACTAAGTTTTAAGTAAATATCTGAAGTTTCTTAAATTGAGTTGAAGAGATGCCATTAAATTTAAAATACCCATTCTTCATTTTAGCCATGATCAGGGAGAGGGAAATGGTAAGTCGAAGATGGTAAGCAAAAGATGTTATGCCTCACAGGTACTGGGCAATTATGGAAATAGTTTTGTTATGGGAAGCCACTGACTTAAGCACACTTAAATTACAAATGGCCACCTTAGCAGTTGAGTGGCACTAGGTGCTATCACTACTGCTTGGATTTTCCATTTTTTTACCTACCCCCTGATAATAAGTCTCACCTGCTGCAGTCCTGTCTGAAATGGTGAGATTATTTATGAGGCAGTAAAAAGTTCATAAGACAGATCTTCTCTTACCCTGAATACTTACTCTTTCTAAGCCCTTTGACCTATTTGCCTCTGGACCTCTATATCCTCATCCTTATCCTAGCTCCTATGATATTCTCTGGACAGCCTAATGCTTTTTTTTCCTCCTGAAATGTGCGTGGATCTTATTTCATCCCAACTTTCACCTATTGGAGGGGAGAATATTTGGAGGGAAGTGGTGGAGGTGGATAGAAGAACATTAGAGAAAGCCCTGGCCTGCACCCTTTGTCTTCCTTTTTGCTGCTCTTTCATTCCTTTTTCATACTGCTGTCTTTCTCTCTCAATTTTTTTCTTTCTGTTTAAAACCCTTCTAACTATTGGAAATGTATGTAGTCGTGACTATATGTAGTGTACATTGGGTATTGTAAATTTGTGAGACACTTAAGATTAATGGTTCTGTTGTAGATGAGTATATAACTTATCAATCTGGGTAAAGTTTTGCTGATGTGTAGAAGACTAAAGGCACTTAAGAGTTACCAGCTAAAAATCTCAAGGAATTGAAGTTGGTTTGAGGGCATAGCTAGAAAGAAGCAGGTTCCAGATATACTCAGGCAACTAACAATCTATGTCTAAATGACTGGTATTTGGGGGTTTAAATATCAGCATCATTCATATACTGTAGTTTGACAATTCTCTTCTCTATAAACTTGTTTCATTTTACCCCCTTCCGTCTTAAATGCTAGCAGAATCTTTTTAAGATCTCACCTTTTATTTTTTTTCAGGTGATATAGGGAAAAGAAAGTGGGAGACACCCATGTTTAGATTAGCTAAAGATTGGTGGCAGCAGTATAGAAATATCACCCCAACAGTTTTACATTGCTGGTCAGTAAAGTCTGAGCAATGAAAAAAAAAAGTAGAAACTGAAGAAAACTCCAGTTATGGATGATAGTTGGTCTGGACAGTTCTTTCCTTAACTATTACACTACCATTGCATTCTTGTGTGTGTGTATAGTTATATTTAGATAAGTGTAACTTGTGGTAGCACTTTTATCTGTCTTCCCAACAACTGCTGATAGTATCCCATAAGGCAGCGTAGTATTTTGTGTTGAGTACCAGTGATTCTGTACTCTTGGTGTTTTAACTGTGCTATACTTTTGAATGGAGATGGAGTTGTCTAAAGAAAACAAAATGTATTTTAACTGGTAAAATCACAGCCTTTCTTAAGAACAGCTTTCTTCACTTCTTCCCTGGACTATTATAATAGACTCCCTGCCTCAAATCTCACATATACCCCCAGTCCACCCCCAACCATTCTCTACTTAGCTACCAAAGTGATAATCCTAAAGTATAGGTAAATTCCCAGGGCTCTGCATTACCTGTCATATCATATATAAACTGCTCTGTTTGACATTTAAACCCTTCACAGCCTGGTTTCTAATTTTCATACATTAATTCCCATCAGACATACTTTAGTCCAACCAAACTGGCCTTCTTCATTGACAGAATTTCATTCTTGAAGTAGATTTTCTCCTGATGTCTGACTCTTAGAATCCTTAGCTTCCTTCAAAGCTTAGCTCAGGTGCCACTTCCCAAAGTGGGCATTACCAATCGGGGGGGGGGGGGCCTGAATTGATAGAGGCAGTAGTAGTAGCCTTGGGTACAATTGGGTGGCATTAAATAAAAATAAGGGAGTGGTGGGAATATAAGGAAAGAAGAGAATACAAGAAAATTTTTTAGAACTGCTCGTACATGTTTTATCTGTTGTGTAACAGAGTTAAAGTCATAGTGATTACGTTGTTTTTCAAATAAACACACAAAATGCAAGTTATAACCTATCAGTGGTCAAGTCCACCTATAGGTCTTAATAAGCAAGTGTTGGCAAGGTGAGCTTGTAGCACATTGTCAGGAAATCCAGCGTACATCGGCAGGAATATCTGTGTGATGACTTGTTTACAGTAAGATACTATATGGTAACCAGGCTTTTATGAAAGTAATACTTCCTTCACTCTATTTAGCCTTCTCTTAAAATAGATTTCTAATTCAGTGAATATTTATTGACAACTACTTTGTACAAGCCAGTGTAGTACATCCTTAAGGAAGATTTAGAAATGAGTAAGACAGATCTCTTCTTTCAAGGAACTTTGTTGTTGACAGACGTGTTTATGTTCTCAGTAATATCTGTAATACGTGGCAGTGTGAAACCATTACTAGGAGCCTGTTATAAGCCAGTTCTTAGGTGGGAAAAAGAATATTCATGTGTGGGATAGGATATAACAAGCCTATCTTGTAGCTTAGATTTTCAGCCAAGTACTGGCATGGCTATTCTGTTTTCACGTTTATTAATTTTTCTTTATTTTCAGATAATAAATTGAGTGAAGCTTCAGGAGGTGGAGCAGAAAATGGAGAACAAAGTGATTTGGAAGAAAATAATGAAGAAGAACAGGAAAATGGAGTTATTGGTGCTGTTCCTGTTGATGAAAACCTTTTTACTGGAGAGGATTTGGATGAACTAGAAGAAGAATTAAACACACTTGACTTAGAGGAATGACAACAAGCAAGTCAGATGGAAAAAATTGTCAGCTCAACATAAATTGAAATTGACTACATTAATTTTTTTCTCCTGTCTAGAATTCTTAAACAGGATGTTTATGGTTTCTCACACTGATTTTGGGAGGGCACCTTTTCCTCCAACCAAAAAAAAAAAAAGGAATATTCACCCTTATCACCTCTATTCTGACCTTGACTACACCTCATAGTAAGTTCAGAGTAAGTCATAAGTAATCTGAAATATAATGGTCATTACAGAAAAGATTTTGTAAATAATTGAAGTAGGAAGTATAACTGCTTTTTTTCCAATTTGTGAGTTTCATTGGGCATGTGTTATTACCAAGTACAACATACATATTGAAAATATCCCTCATTTAAGCTGCATCTTTTTAATGAGTGATTTGATTTCCTTTGTATTTATATATAACAGAGAGAGAGAGAGAGAGACTGCCTAAAATAGACTACTTATGCACATTCAGTGTTGGGTTTCTTTGGATAATTAATCAGATGGACATTAAAGATGCAGGTTCTTTAAACTGACAGCATCATCTGGAATGCCCTCTGTACACCGTTTTAAATTTTCCCTCTGCCTTTTTTGCCAACAAAGTTGTAAATAAAGACCATCAGATGTTAAAATCACAACATGGGCTTTTTATTTTTTTATGATTTTATAATTTTTATATATTTCATAAAGTATGTTGGCCACACTAGATTTGTATGAATATTTTTGTCTCAGTTCCATTTTGGAAGTTTAAATTTCTTCTAAATAGGTTGACAATAATTAGTAGCTCACCTCAGCAAACATAGGCCCTTGGGACTATTCTCTTTGTCTGGTATACAAATTTAAACATACAATTCTGTTTTACTAAGTAATCCATTAACAATAATAACAATAGCCTCCAAGATACCTATTTACTACCTAACCTAAACTGAAAGTAATACTATATATAAGTGATCTCTTAAACTGTTTTAAGACTTTAAACATCAATTACCATACCAGTTTATGTCTTAGTTAAATCTTATAGTAGCGCACAGTCAAAATACTTAAGGATTATTTACTGAGTGATGTTGACACTCATGATAATTGACATGGCAATCTGTTCTCTCACCTTTGGCTTCAAAAATTAGCATATCAAAAATAAAGCCAATTTTTTTTCTTTTAAAAGAGGCTGTGACCTTTAACACTATAAAAGCACATGATCTAGTTATGCCTGACAGATACCTAACCATAAAACTTATAATTGGACTCCTAATTAACAAATGAAATAGCAAAAGTTGGTTATATCCACAGTGTCATAAGAGAGTTTGGGGATGAGGTGAAATGACACCCTTTTTTAACAGGGTGGTGGTGGTAAGGAAACAGCTTAGTTCCTTACAAACATCCTGGTAGGTAGCCTGGTGGTCACTCTAAGACCTCAGGAGTCCTAAGATCATCTCTGGAAGGTTTTACTTTCATGGAACTAAAGCCAGACTCTTGGGCAATAGGGAAATGTAAAACCATCATCAGTGTTTCTCAGTGAGTGGTTTTAATTATCCATAAACATTGTGGTGATACACCATACTATAGAATGTTTAGAATTAAAACAGTACTTCAAATGCAACTGTATCATAATTTGTCATTGTTAATGATTCAGGGTGGATATAGTTAAGAGAAATGTAATAAAAAGATAACTGAGGTATGGTGGAAAGAGCACTGGCCTAGAGTCAGAGGACATAAGTTCAACTCCTACCTCTGACACTTACCTGTGTGACTTGAACAAGTCATGTAGTTTCCCTGGTGCTCATTTTCCTCATCTATAAAATGAGAGAGTTGGGTTTGCATGGCCTCTGAAGACCCTTCCATCTCTAAATCTATGATCCTGTGAATTATAGCATCTGGGTTCTAATATTTGCTTTGCCACTAACTAGCCATGCAATCTTAAGCAGATCATTTCTGCAAGTTAATTTTCTGTTAAACATAGGGGATGCACTAGATTAATCTCCTATGGTCTTGCATCATGGAGAGTCAGATTCCTAGTTGGTAAAGGTGTTAATCACCCAAAAGTTGCTTTTATCTAAAAAGTGCTATCGTTGGAATTTCTCAAACCTTGTGACAGCATGGACCATGCTTATAAGGACTGAATTCATTTCTTCTCACCATAGTGAAGAAGTATATTTAACTAAAGTTATTTATGTGGAGAAGCAAAGTTACTAAAATTTTTATGTAGGAATTATGCTTTAACTTTTCTTTATCCAGGACCCTGATAGCTTTTTGAAAATGTTCATTACCAGTATATATTGAATTCAATACATTGAATTGTTAACAGTTATTTCCAAAACTATTTTAAGAACCTGGAGTTCTTATTGGGGGTGAGGAGAAGAGGTAAAGTGATTTTTTTTCCCCCTTCCTTTGTGTCCTCATTTTGTAAACTGACTAAAGATCTTTCACATGTTAAATCAAGAGAAGTGAAAGATTACACTGACTTTGGGCTTCGGTTTTTGCTGCATTAATATAGGCCAGTATAAATACCAAAATAAGATAGCAGATATTTTGATGGCTTAACTCAAGTTTAGTTCTCTGGTCAAAGAAAGAGATTGTTAGTGCCTTAAAACCAATGTATGATTTTTGAAACCACCAAACAGCTACTAGTAGATTATAGTTTTAAAGAATATTTTTGGTATTTTGGAAAGACACCTCTGAAATACTTGAATAAAATAAAAGGGAAATATTTCAGGATTAAAAATTTATCCACATATAGCTGACCATAAGTTCCCTGCAGCAAATTAATTTATTTCACCCACTGTGCTTCCTTTCTGTGTTGCTTCCATCTACAGGAGTCGTGTGCATGGGAAATGCAAAATCATCTTACTCAGGCAGCTATCAGCACAGTGGATAGAACAGTGGGCCTGGAGTCAGACCTAAGTTTGAATTTTCTCTCAGACACTTAACTAATTCTGTGACCTGGGCGAGTCTGTTTGCTTCAGTTTCCTGAATTGTAAAATGGGGATAATAATAGTACTTATTTCACAGGGTTGTTGTGAGCGTCAAATGAGGTAGTATTCATAAAAATTTTTAGCACAGTGCCTGCTAGTAGGCACTGTAATAAATGCTTATTCTCTACTATTCCCTTTCCCATATTGATATTAACCAGAAGAAAATGAAAGAGACCTCTGAAGTATTGCAGTGATACATGTTTAAACCAGAGAGAAATTACTTTTGGATTATCCACATCATGGTTACCTTCTATTTGTTAAGATACTTGTGAGTTATTGGTACTTTTAGAAACTTTTCCAGGTCACCTTAAAGCTAGCTAATTTTTTTTTCTTGCTCCCAAACTGTTTAATATAGTCCTATAAGTGATCTTTTTTTATGCTTAGCAGAGGAAAGAATGCTTTTGATCTGAATTCAGTCATATGAACTTGGTTTATATTTTTAAAAAAATCTTTGTGATTTAGACACGTAAAAAAACTCAGTCTTTATCCTTAGACTTTTTAACTGTAAAATAAGACTAGAACTATCTATAATATGAAACTTTCTTGGCATTTGGTTTCTTATATTTATGTAAGATGCAGTCATTTTTTTCAAAAGTTTGAAAACAGTATAGACTATTACTTCAGCCTTATACTCTGTATTTGGCCTCTCTTTGTTGTAAAGTCACTATTCTCTACAACAGGTTTTGTGGATTGTGTTTGTTTCTGTTGGTTTTTGGTAAACTACTTGTGAAAATGCTGGGTGTTTCAAAATAGCTATATTATGGATTTTATTCTGCCTTTGCAGGTGTGGTTAATTCACCACTATTAGAAAGCAAGGAATAGCTGGCTCACCATTAATATGTATGCATAATTGTTTCAGCTTAATTTTTTGGTCATTAGATTTGTCAACCTAAGTTTATTCTATCTATTGTTAATGATTTAGAGCAGTGGTGTGAAACTCAAATATAAATGGTGTGTACTAATCCATACCTAAAGATCCTTATAAGTCACATATTGCCTTAGTTTAAAAATGTAATGTTATCTATTTTTATTGTATTTTCATTTATATTGTTAAATATTTACCAGTTACATTGTAATCTAGTTGAGCCCACACTGTGCCATATGTTTGACACTTCTAATTTAAAGTATGGTGCTAATAAGTCAAATGAAATTTAGGGATTTTTAGCTGGAAGCAACTTCAGAAAGCATGGGTTAAGTTGTTTGTCCAAAATCATTTGGTGGCTAGTTAGTGACCTTCATGAGTTTGGTTATCATTCAAGCCAATTAATTTCACACAGCCTCATAGTCATAGATTGTCCAATTGTAGCCCATGAGTTTAAGGCAGGACCTTAGTTTGCATTTTTCTTTTTTTTCTTCCATCTTTTACCCAGTTCAACACTTTGTAGTACCTAGTAACCTCTCAACAAATATGTGTGAGGATGGATGAAGTATGATTATCTCAGTACATAACCCTCACCAGTATTAAGAGGTATATTTTGGGGAGCTTTCAGTGACAGAACAGTGTCTTCCTTTATAATATTTTACTCTATTGACTACCCTCTTCTACTTAATATGCTCTTCCCTTCTCCCATAGTCTCTCATTGCTCTTCCTGGTTCTTTCCTTCATGTTTTTCACTGAATATTTTGCAGGTTCTTTCTTTTTCTTAATCTTGCCCTACACTTTATATTCATTTCTGTATGCTTTCTCTTGATCTCATCCATGCCCAAGACTTCAAAGAATCTTCATTACTTTACTTATCACATAATTGCCAAATAGCTATCCTCAGGCTTTCTCCTCAGCTCCAGTTTCCTTTTTCCAATTGGATATTTCCACCTTAAAATGTGGAATTTTGGGCCAAAGGTGAATAATTCTGTTTCTTCCCTAAATCTGTCTCCTTCCCCCCTTTCTCAATTTCTTTTAATATTGCTACATCTTCCACATCATCCAGATTCTCAAACCCAGAACCATCTTAGAGTTATTTCCCCCTCACTCTCTTTTCTGGTCAGTTGCCAAGTCTTTTTGGTCTTTCTGATACTTCATTCCAGTCACCCTTCTACTCAAAAACCTTCCTTAGTTTCCCACTGCTAAAGTATATACACCTGACTCCAGTGTCTCTCTCTCTCTCTCTTTTTTTTTTTTTTGGTGAGGCAATCTGGGTTAAGTGACTTACTCAGGGTCTCACAGCTAGTAAGTGTGAAGTGTCTGAGATGGGATTGGAACTCAGGTCCTGCTGATTCTAAGGCCAGAGCTGTATCTACTATGCTGCCTACCTGCCCTTCAGTCTATGTTTCTAATACTTCTCATATTACTCCCATTCATGTACATGAATCTATTCTTTTACCATACCCTTTTCCTCTAGCAATCAAAGCCAAAAGTTATATATTTCTCCACAAGTTTTCCAGTATTTTTCCCTGAACCTCACCTTTGTTTTGCTAGCCATTTTTATCATGGTTTATGGTTGTTATGTTTTCATTGTCCCCTTTCCCTTTTAGATTGTAAGGTCTATATCATATCTTCATAGACCCAAATGCTTATTGAATCCAGTTCAGTTGAATTGGAAAAAAAAATACAAGAAAGTGATAGATGTCAAGGCAAAAATGATTAATCAGGGTGTTGATAGGTATTTTAGTAAAAAGTGGTTCATTTTATATTCTCTAATTAAAAAAAAAATTAATGACCTAATAGCAGA